TCACTGGGCAGCTGGGTCAGGGTGGGGAAGGGGAGGGTCCCTGTGAGAAACCTGTCGAGATCTTTAACCGTGTCCTTCTCCTCCCCTCACAGAGAAAGTACAAGCTACAGATGCTCAGAACTGATGTCCCTCCCGCGGTGCACTGGTTTCTGCCAACACAAAGGACCCCAGGCTGGGCGGTCTGAACCACAGGAATCAATTCGCCCACGGTTCCGGGGACAAGTGTGAGGTCAAGGTGTTGGTGTCATCAGGGCCGGGCTCCTCTGTGGGACCCGAGGAAGGAGATTCCCCGCCTGTTCCAGCCCGCGGTGGCAGCCGCAGTCCCGGGGGTCCTGGCTCTCAGCTGCCCCTCTCCAGGCTCTGCCTCGCCTGGCACATGCGTCACCCTGCGTGTCTACGTTCACATCGTCTTCCCCCTGTGTCAGTCTCTGCATCTCTTCCCGTATTGTAAGGTTACCGCTCAGGCTGGATTTAGGACCCACCCTACCGCAGCCTGACCTCATCTGAACTTAAACAATTACACCTATTCCCATAACGCCACGCTCCGAGGTTCCAGGAAGGACATGAATTTGGGGAGGACACGATTCCACTCAGCACACGTGGCAGTCACTTAGCAACAATGGTTTGATTCACAGGGAAGAAATCTAAAGCCCCAAGAGAGCTCGGGGGCTTGTCCAGCTCGGGCTGGTGGGAGGGCAGGGCTCTCTGGGGTCTCTGCTGCTGCCCGGGCTTCTCAGGGACCGTCTTCGTCCTCCTTGTAGGACAGACTCAGCACAGGGCCCTGGCAGGTGTGACTCGAGGGCACCCAGGTCCCCATCCCACCCCCCCTCCCCCCTGCTTGGTGGCGCTGGGGCCTCGCTTCCTGCTGGAGCAAGTCCAGCTCCTCGAAAGGCCTGCCTGCATCCAGAAGGTGGGGCTGTCAGTGAGGTGCCCCCAGACACACCTGCTCCCCGGCTATCGGCTCTGTTTATTTCTGACTTATCTCTTCCTTTGGTGTCCTGGTCATCAGCCCAGTCGCTCCTGGGATGTTTCCTTGTTGCAGCACCTGGGTTGATGCAACAATTCCAAAGCCAAAGCTCTGGAATCAGCGGTCACTGAGGCAGGAACCACCCCAAGTTTTCCCCTAGACACTCAGGGGCTGTCACATGCCGGCACCATCTGTAGGAGGATGGGCACTGGCCCAGTATCGGGGTCAGGAGAGCAGGGCCCCTGAGGGGCATCCGAGGGCCCGTGGCCTCTGTGCCGACCCTGTCCCTCACCCCCTCCCCTGCACAGTTGCTGGGTGACACATTTGCGAGGTCTGATGCCCCCCCTGTTTATCCCCAGTGGAAGCCACGCTGGAAGGCAGGAGCCTCCCTGAATCCATCACTAGGCTGCCTCAGGTCCTGAAGGGCCCAGCAGGAGGGAACTGAGAACACAGAGGCAGCTCCCGCGCCCGGGGCAGCTGCAGAGCGCTGTGACAGCTGGTCAGCAGGAGGCCCCCGGGAGGTGTGTGACCCCAGGACCCACCCAAGGGTATGAATTCGCGTGGCTTTGAACCTTCTTCCTCCACCTGGCTCTCTGCTGGCTTCAGCAACCAGGAGTGGTAATATTAGAAGCCGAGAGGTAACATGGACTATAGAACCCTGTGTAAGACACATTGACTCCATATTTTCTGAGGGGTGGTGCATTAGTACTATCTGCCTAGACACCCTTCTGACCCTCACCTACCTGTGAACTCCTACTCATCCCTCAAGACCCAGTCCAGATGTCCCCCTTACGAGACGTCTGCTGTGTAGCACTCTGCCAGCTCCAGTCGCATCGCGTCACAAGTCGTGCTTCAAGGCTTGTTCCTCCTTGCGGGGCTGTGGGCTCTGAGGTCAGCGGCTCTGCCTGGGGCCCTTAGGGCCCAGTTCTCTCAGGCCAAGTGCCCAGCCCATGATCTACTCTCAGTCCATGCTTATTATATACTGTGCCAGTGGCCATGCATCCTGCAACCCCAGCTCTCAGGGCCAGCGCTCCTGCTTCTTGGACCCCTCCAGGTGGCCCTTGCCTTCCCTGGGACACCTGCACACCAAGCCCAGGGTGAGAGGCATTTGTGGGGACAGGGGGAGTCCCCAGGACATCCCAGGCATGTGTTCACCCCAGGCCTTGGTGGGACACACGGAAGCCACCTGTCAGAGTGGGACCGATGAACAGTGACCCTAAGGCCTGCAGCCCTGGCACAGGCCCCCTTTTTTTTTTTTTAAAGATTTTATTGGAGAATTGGGGGGGAAGGGAACAGACAGGTAGACAAATTGCTGTTTTTGTTCTTCAGTCTAGTTGTGGAAGACGTTGCTTCATTGGCCCATGTTGGTATGATCATTGCGCTCTTCCTGGGTGAGGCAATTGGTTGCCGGTCATTGGTCGGCCGCTCACACCAGCTGCCGGCAGCTCACACCGGCTACTGGCTGCTCACGCTGGCTGCCAGTCACTCACATAGCTCACGGCAGCCCACTGCAGCCCTGCTGCAGCCTACACAGTCACGGGTGACTCCTGGCAGCCCAGCTCCAGGTCGAGCTGTTGTTCACCATCTTACCTGTAGAGGGTGAGCGTCACTGGCCCTCAATGTGGGATCGGAACTGCAGCCCTGCTTCTCAGAGCTGGTGTCCCAAGCGAGCTCTTAACCAGCTGAGCCACTCGGCCGGCCCAACAGACCCTTCTTCATCCCTGGAGTTTGACCTCCCCAGAGGAACAGGGAAGGCCACAGACTGTGAGCCCTGGAAGGCAGGGGAGCTCTCAGGTGCCCCTTGCCTGCCCTGGTGGAGAGCCCTGGGTTATGGAGTCAAGGGCTCCCTAGAACAGGAGGAAGGGAACAAGTTTCCCCCACAAACATTCACTCAATTCTCTAGTTTTCAGGGGCCAGCCCAAGCCCCACTCTGTAAGCCTGCGCCATCTCCATCTGGGGAAATGCAGCTCTGGCCCCCATTTCACAGCCACCACTTCTATCAGACCTGGGGACCTCAAGCCTGGACCCTCTGCCACTGTAGCTGCTGTACCACACCTGGCAAGTGACCAGTGTGTATCCTGGCACATGACTTGGCTCAGCGTCACCATCTCACGCAGCCCTGTGGGCGAGGTGCTATGTGACAGGTGAGGAAACTGAGGCACATGTGGTGAAACGACTCGCCCCAGGTCACGCAGCCCCAGACCCGGACCAGGTCACAGCTTCCCCGCCTTGACTGGCCCCTGTGCCCCCGAGGGGAACTCTTCAAGAACAGGGTTTGTCACCTTTTTTGTTTCTTCCTCAGTCCAAGCCCCAGCTCAATGGACAGTAACTGAGTTTCACTGAAGCCAAACACCAGTGGTGGCTCTGGGCGCTGCCCAGTGGAATTCGGTGTCTGAGTTACCTGCTTGGGGCGGGGCCCGGGCATCCACACCATTCCAGTGGTGGTGACCAGGGCACTCGGAGATGCTCCCTGTCAGAACAGCCTTCAAATCACTGCCCCTTCTAAGCCCGTTTCTGGGTTGTTTGCACTTTCTGGAACCTGGCCCATGTCCACAGCCTGGCCTGGCCCAGGGAGATTATGAGGGTGGGTAGGCAGGGGGTCTGGTTGGAAACGGCTCCCAGGAATTTCCCCAGGAGGATCTTTTCCACAGCATAACGATGGTGCCCTCTGTTAGCTTGGGCGCACTCTCTCCTTCTGGGAACAGAGCAAACGCCTTGAAAACAAGGTAGAAAGGGCTCTGTGTGTCTTCCCACCCGCACTTGCCTTGGAGAAGGTGGGAAACCAGTGGTGGGTGTCGCCCAAACCGATTCATCCATGGCTCACTGAGTATAAGGGGCTGGGCCTGGGGAGTCCCAGGGTGGGGCACGGTCCTTGTCCCCAGTGCACGCACACTGTGGCCCCGTCGGTCACTCAGTGAAGGACCATTCTGCGGACAAACTCTTGCGTGCTCAGATCCCCCCAACTGGGAGACTAAGTTCGACCCACCAGCTGCACCTGTTTGTGGGATGATATGCAAAACCCACCTGAGGCTCCTGGGAGACTCACTGGGTCACACTGGTGCTGACCTGACAAGTAAGGGTGCCCAGGCAGAGAAGAACCATGGAGATGCCACAGTAACCGGAGCCCCGTGCTGTCCTTCACGGGAAGGCGAGCGGTGTCCTACAGTGGGGGGCTGAGCCCCAGCGCCACAAGGGCTGTAGAGTAACCTCTGAAGGCCACCCTAACTTCTGAGTTTAATTTGTTCCCCTGGAAAATGGGTATCATTATTCCCATGTCATTTAGATGCGCTGTCATAAAGCAATATAGGCTTCATTTAAAAAAAAGCAAGCTGGGCAAAGGTGTATAGGGAAGTTCCTATTTGTGTTGAAAACGTGCTTAGATCTAGAGGACATTTCTGGAAAAATACCTAAGACAGTATCAAACATGGACACCGCTAGACGGGCGGGCCTCTTACTGTGGTCTGATTTCAAAAACAACTGCGCAGGCTCTCTTTTTATTACAATGTACTGAATAAGCTTACTTACTATGCTTATTAACATGTAGTCAACATAATCAAAATATTGATTGCTAGAAAAAAAGCAAAAAGGGAAGGACAGGAACATCTACCTTCCAGGAGTGTGAGAGAGACATGAGATGGCGCCTGGCTCGGGTTTGTTGCCTGTCTCGTCAAGAACCCAGGGCTGATCTGGGGTGAAGTGGCCTGGGGGCTCTTGTCATTGAGTAAGGAAGCTTCTAGACTGCTCCTGGCAGCTGAGCCTGCCTCCGCCCGCCTGACCCAGCCCTGCTCCCTGACAGGAGTGTCAACGCCCGCACTACCTGTGGGGTTAGCACCACTTCTTCCCTTACAGGAGGTGAGCCTCTGGGGCTTAACCATCAGGTCCAGGGAACTGCAGGCGGGGCCAGAGCCCCAGGGAAGGGCCGTCCCCAAACAGACTCCAGGGTGCCTGTGCAAACACAGGCGGCGTATAAATGCGTCTTCTTGGAGGCACGGCGCATCCACTGAGTGGCGGGTCCCAGAGCCCGCTCGTGACCATGGAGGCCAGAGCGCTCTGGCTGCTGGCGGTGGTCCTGGCCTTGGGCTTCACCAGCTCATCTGGGGAGTACGTGGGCCTGTGTGAGTACCGCCGGGGTGGGGGCAGCGGGTGGCAGGCTGGGAACACGGAGGATCCAGGCTTGGGGGTTTCTGGGGACTTAACGGAGGTGACCAAGCCCCCAGGTTAATTTAACAATTGCCGTTTACCAGACACACACACATTTCCTCTCAACAGCCCTACACATGGGTCTTGTTGTCCTCATTTTAGAAAGCTGTTAACTGACCTAAGGCAACCCTCCCCGACGGTGCTGAAATCAGGATTTGCACCCAGCTCGGCCTGGCTGGCAGCCAACGCCCAACCCCCCCAGCCCCCCCCCCTTGCCCGCTTTGCTGGACTCCCCAGTCACAATGTAGGCCTTTATGCTTTGTTTTGACACAGTCACAATTCTGGAATTGTTTACTCCCTGCATTCTAACTCCCAGCTGGAGATGTGGCTGTTTCTGTTACCCCAGCTTTGAAGAAACGAGGGTGTGGCTTTTATCAGCTCACCTACGAGCTGTGTCAAAGGCAGCGCTCGCAGACTTGGCGCCGCTCACATTTACCTGGAGCCCAGGATGCTTCGATTACGTCAGAATGTCTGAGTGGGAGCGGGGTGGGCATCGGTGGTGGTGATAGTTCCCCAGCGGGTCCCACTGTGAGCAAAGTCTGGGAACCATGCGAATGGGGACCGACAGGCTGGCAGCAGTAGAAGGGGACTTCCGCGATTTCGTGTGATTTCTATTTTCCTAAGGAAAAGTCCAGTTAGGTCATGAGGTGAAGGGGACTTCTGCTAACTTCAGACGTACAGCTTTGCTTGAAAAACAAACATTGGAGACTGGAGGGTGTAAGGGAAGGTGTGATAAGCTGAGCCATTGGGGGACAGGGAGGTGCAGGGAAGAAGTAAAAAACTCAGCGTGCACAGTGATTTTCTCTATTGAATGTATATCTCCTGTTATACTTTTCATTTAAAAAAAAAAGGTGGGAGGACATTTTCACTGATAAAACGGTAAAAGGGAACTTTGTTTCTGGGTTCAGGGGACCCCGGAGTCCATGGCTCCTGCCAGCTGGAGGGAACCCAGGCCCATGCTGACTTCCTGACAAGGTGTTAAGAGCACCAGGCATATGGCCAAACTTCCTACAGGACGTTTCTCTTTAAATATTTACACGGAAAGAGGGTCCTCCTCTAGCAGATTTGGGAGGGAAGGGGTCACATCTTTTGAACTCAGGATGGGGGATGTGGGTACAAAATGAAGCCAGCAGACCAACCCCAAGCAGCACCCTGGTAGCTGACTGGGTTTTGTCTGGGACAGCGGAGAACCAGTGCAATGTCCCGGCCAAGGACAGGGTGGACTGCGGCTTCCCCCAGGTCACCCCCGAGCAGTGCAATAGCAGGGGCTGCTGCTTCGACTCCAGCATCCCCGAGGTGCCCTGGTGCTTCAAGCCGCTGCAGGAATCAGGTAAGCCGGCCCCACGGGCATGGGGTCCTTCGTGGGCCTGCAATGGCACCTCCAGGTCCCCAGGGAGCCACACAGCCCTGGGGCCTGGGGCCTGGGCAGGACACCCCGTGCCATGGCTGTCGGTTGGTGGAGGCCTCAGTCAGAGGCTTCATCTTCAGGGTACTCAGCTGCCAGTGGCTGTCCCCTGTTGTCCTGTTGCCGAGTGGTTTGTGCAAAATATAAAAGCAATCGTTTCAAAAAGGTATTCAGAGTCAAAGTATTATGTAGAAAGAACTAGTTTAAAAGCTATCCTGGAGAGAAATGGAAAATACGCAGGTGTGGAAAGCTCGGCCGACTTTCCAGGCGACCTTCAGCAGACCAGCCACCATCATCTGTGACATGCAGACAGCAGGCGGGTGACAGCGCCAGGCCTGGAGCCCTGGTGCCTCTCCACAGGCCGCCATCTTCTTCCCACCATGAGTGCACCCCTCCCCCACCCTCCCTGGGTGGTGCAGTGGGGTGCGGGACAGCCACCCGGGGAACCCCATGTCAGCAACAGATGGTGTGCACACGGGTGGCTGCTGTCTTGGCTCCATCAGCCCCACCCCACACATCCTGGGCGTGGAGCCCACTATAAGCCATCTGGCAGCCCAGGTGCCCGCTCACCTTGGAAGGAGGACATAGCTACGTAAGGCGCCTTCCTGGAATCAGCACCCCAGGGGCCTCTTGGCCTTTGTCCAGGATAATGAGAAGGGAGCTGCATCCCAGCTGGTCAGCGATGGGGCCCCTGCTCACTGCCCACGGCCTCCCTGTCCCGTCCCAGCATCTCCAGGCAGAGGTCTAGATGAGGCTTTGGGACCAGGAGGCAGAGCCGCCTAGTGCCCCTTTGCTGGGCGTCCCATTCTACCTGTTCTTCAGCCTGGGTGACACCTTCTTCTCTGGGCGCAGGGTGGCCCTTCTCATTTATCATGTCCCGACCCCCTGGGTCCTGGTGGGACACTTGGCTATTCTCCCACAGGGAGGGGGACTCACTTCCCCAGTGAGTCAGCAGAGGATGCAGCCCAAGGGGCTGAACTTGGGTCCTGCCTTGACCTTGAGAAGCCAGGTAGCCAGTGGGTGGAGACCAGACCTGCTCACGGTAATGCATCCTGTGCTTTGTTTGCAGAATGTACTTTTTGAAGCCACACCCGCTGCCCCCGGACACCCTGGGAGGTGAACTTCCACACTCGGGCATCCTGCCCACTCATCTCTGCTTTCCTACCACCCTGCTCCCGGCAAGACTTCCTCTGAAAGCTGATGCCAAGGCCTGACGTCTTAAAGAATAAAGATTCATACTCAGCACGAGGCTGGGTGTTCCTTCCTGAGACTGCATGTTGTTGTGTTTTATTTCTGCCCAGTCGCTCTCACGCCCTTCTCAATATTTCACAGGTGGGGGACGGCAGGGGGTGTCATGGCATCTCTGACAGAGGGTCCATCCAAGCCTTGGGAGCAGGAAAATAAGCCCTAAGCAGCTACCCCGCTTGCGAGGATCATGCAAACCTCAGACTTAGCGCTGCCATGGCGGGGAGGGCCAGCCACCTTCCAAGGGGGCTCCTCCTCCTGCAAGTTGAGAAAAGACATTTCAAATGTAAGGTAAAAAAATATATATCGATGTCTTTCTTGGTGAAGAGAAAGCGAATAAAACCATCTTAGAAGCTGGCACTTTTTTGCTATTTATTTTCAAGTCAAGTTTGTCACGGAGTAGAATTAACCCCTGGTCATTCACAAAAGGTGAAAGCATTCACAGACTCTACGAAGTGGAAGAGTGAGAAAAGGTTTTATTAAAAGTAGGAAGAGAGGGAACGCCCACGGCAGTCTCCAAAGAGGAGGGCTGCCAAGTAAGGAGAGGAACGCAGGCGGGGGTGGGGGGCCCCTGGGCAGAGTCCAGAGCCTGAGGGTGGACAGCTGCCCCTAACCGCAGGTTAGCTTTTTCTTGTATAGGAAAGGGGGAGTCAGCCAGGCAGGTTTGAGGGCTGATCGCTTCCTGGGGTCTGGTCTATTTGAAGATGTTGTCATCTCCAGACTCTGGACTTGGACTCGGCCACCGAAGCCTGGGACTTGAACGCGTCACCAGTAAATACTGACAGGAAGTTGTAAATTGGATTCCAGTGTCCGGGCGCCTGAGGATTCAGAAATTGCTCTTTCCCAGGTTAGAATGTTGCTAATCAGCAAAGTATGGGCAGCCTTGAGAAAGGGAACAAACAGAGTTCTTCAGCTAATCAGTGAGGGAAGAAACGAAGAGAAAACAGCTGAATATAAGGATGGATCAAACTGAAAAAATACTCAGTCTCATTACAGGTGGCTGGATAGCAAGCTATGCAGTGAGTGAAACTGCGAACTAGCTAACTCTACCTGCGTTACTGATTCCCTGACTTTCACCCTTACAAAGTTTAACCTCTGTTTCACCTTGGGTGGACTTCTGTAGCTTTCTTCTGAAAATGGATGCAGCTGTGTGAATAAATGGAGCGGTGTCACTGCGAGGATGCCGTCTCAAGTCCTCGGGAAGTCTTATCAGCCCCTCGAGGAGCGCCGTCTCCCCACCCCCTACTCTGGGACCAGAAGGGTCTCCAAGACGAAAGCCCAGCCCGCACCCACTGTTCCGCACATTCGCTCAGGCTGAGCGTCCGGTGCTGTTCTGCTGATGGGCCGCTCAGGACCCGGGGACAATCCTACTCCGTGCTCGTTCACGCTGCACAGCGTCAGAAAGCAGGGCTGCCCGCGGAGGGGTTCTTGGTCGGAGTAGTCCGGCCCTTCCCGCTGGCAAAGAGGCCCTAGCTCCCTTCAAAACACAGCCTTTGTGTGGGGTTTGCACTTGGGGCCAGGTCCCTGGAGATATTTCTACCCTTGTCTTGCAGATAAGGAACCTGTCCCAGAGCCCCCACTGAGATGGGCCTCGGCAGGGTGTCCAGGTCGGAATCCTGAGCCCGTGTTTCCTTTCTAACACCCACCAGCTCCACCTCCCAGGCCTGGGGGTGAGCTTCTCAGGGGCATCTCAGACTAAGGAGCACACACACAGGCATAGTATCAGGACCCCGCGGGGACCCGAGCCGTTCTCACCTAGATCCCTCTCTCCCCACAGACCACACCCAGAATTTGAGGCCTAGCCTGAGCTTCACTGGAGGTGTTTAGGGTCACCCTGGGCACAGGGCGTCAGCCTCAGGTCAGGCCCCACGGCTGCTGCTTGGGCGCTGCCCATGTGCCTGGCTGATAACCAGCTTTGTTCTTTCCCTCGCTTCCCACCTGGGGCCTCCGCTCTAGGGCGGCACTCTCTGTGTCCTGGCTGTGTGGCCTTATCTGTGGTGACCCCCACCTCCTGCACTTCTAAAGAGTCCCTCGCCTAACTCTGCCATCCTGAGCACGGTCCCTTCTGCCTGGATGCCACCTACCACCGTGTCCCCACCCACCCCTGGACTGCCTGGTGTCTGCATGATGCCCCGGAGGACAGGTTCCACCCCAGAGCCTGCAGCTGGGGGCCCACCACCCTCACCCGCTGGCAGCAGAGCCGGCCCCATCTCCGCGGCCACGCCTGTCCCTTCCTTAGTTATGACAATGCTTCCGGCATGTTCCAGACGGTTCACCACTTACTCTTGCTGCCCCGTGTGTGGTGGTTTGGGTTTGTTACCATCCAGTGGAAAAATATGACACTGGGAGATTTGTCATGTAAGGTCCGGTTGAAAGAGCAAGACTCCCCGTGACAGGGCACTTCAGTCCCCACGTGCAAGTCCCCAGGCCTGGGCTGGACACAGCAACCTCCCTCCACCCTGCCCGAGGGACTCCATCCTGTCCTAACTCTCTGGCTGTCCTGAGTCATATCTGTTGGTGGCGGCTCCCCCAAAGATGTGCAAACTACCAGGGAATGGTGGTGCCACCTCAGCTCTGGAGGGCCTCAGCTTGTGTCCCCTTGCCGCTGGGTGCGGACTTCTGGAAAACTGCCGAGGATCCCGTCCTGTAGTTGAGGAGTCCCTGCCCCATGGCCAGGCGTCCCAAGGGTTAAACAGCTGCAGGGTTTTCATGCTGTGAGCTACAGGGCCCTCAGAGGAGGCTCTGCCCCCGGAAGGATGTGAGCACTGCCTTCCCACGCTGGCTGCACAGCCCTGAGGCTGGGGAAAGAACCAAGGCCTGGGCCAGTGACAAGGACAGCACCTCCCTCACCTTAGTGGCAGAAGGACCCTAAGGCATCTGCACCCCACCCTTCTCAGGGGAAGCCCAAGGCCCAGGTGAGGTGCTGTCACCGTCCACCCATCACTCAGTGGCAGATCAGAGCCAGTGCCTCCCCGTCAGGACCAGCAATGCCTCCCAGGCAGATGGTCTTTGCCCCCCCACCCCCGAGCTTCTATTCCATGGTTGGCCGTTCAGGGCCCCAGTTTTGACAGTGTGCCTCCCTAGACACTCAGGGAAGGCCAAGTTCAGAGGAGAAAAACACCTTCCTCCCAGGACAGAGGGACCTTCCAGTGACCTCCCAGCCAAGGACAATTGCCCACAGGTGGGGGACTGGAAGGTGGAGGGTTTAATCTTCTTGTCCTGGGGCTCAAACTTCTCTCTGTTGTTCCTGCAGGGGGTATAGGGGCAAGTCAGGGAGCCTGGTCAAGGTGAATGTTAGCCCTTCCCCAACGCCAGTGCTTCAGGGGGGTTCAAGCAATGGACGTTAGAATCACCTGGGAAGTTACCAAAAATTTCAGGGTCTCTGTGGGGGGCCCGGTCCCAGCAACGTCCAGACAGGCAGAGAAGCCGGGCACGTCGTCTGCAGGGGCAGATACCCGGCTGTGACATCAGGGGGGACAAGTGCTCCAAGCTAGAGATGCAAATGCTGGCCCAGGTTCAAGATTGTTACTCTCCAGGCAGCATTCAAAACTAAACAAAGAAGCAAAACCTGTGGCTCGCTTGGGCCCACAGGGTCTCTGGGCCAGGTGACCATAGACACCTGGGGACCCCACTAGGCCACTTGTTAAAAAATGACATTAAAACATCATTTATCTTGATTACCGAGTTTGGGGCACCCCCTTCAATTTCATGCCCCACCGTAGCCCCACGGGGGTCTGTAATAGTCTCATAATGAGTTCGCAGCCCACTGACCATGATGGAGTGACACAGACTAGAACACGGAGCAGTTCCATCTGACCTGATCCAAACCACGTAGCGGCCAGCAGCCCCCTCTGCTGGCTGACCGGAGTGACTGCAGCTTCCTGCCATCCCAGGTGTAGCCTGGCTTCCGGCCTCCCCTTCTATTATACATCGATTTATTAAGATACCCTGCACCCAACTACTCGCCTCCAGACAGCATCCAATCCTGACAAAGCCCCGTTTCCCTGAACCTCCCCAAACTCACATCACACAAGCCCAACTCTTATAATAAGTCCTTTCTAGCGTCTGGCTGAGACCCCTGTGACGACTGGTGTTCCTCGCTTCCGCAGGTCCAACCCACGTCTGCAACTAGGGATTTTGACAGGAGGGTGTCGGCAAGACCCAGGCCAACGCCTCGGTGAGCCTGGTGGCGGCCCAGGGACACGTGGTCTCACTCAGTGGTTCTCCGTGGGCCATAGGGGACAGCTGGAAATCTGCAGGTACATTTCTGAGTGTCACATGAATACGGGGGGGACATTACTGGCACCGAGTGGGCACAAGGCCAGAGATAGCCGGTGTTCTGAGGTCTTTCCGACAACCTTCTGGACACTCAGGGCAGCCACAAACCTGTGTAGGCGTATAATGATCTCAGGTTAAGATTTTAGCGGTTTTACCCTGAAACTTACGACTAACACCCTTAGGCTTATTGATCACAATCTCCATGTCTACCAGGCTGATCCCATCATAGTTCCTGGGTTGCTGACTCCACCAGAGAATCACGGGGCCACAGGGAAGGCTCCATGCAGACCCCCAGAACCATCAGGTAACCTCTGGAGGAACACACAGACTTTCCCTTAAATACCCCAAGTGGTCTGAGAATGTGAAGGCAGTTTTTGGAGGTGTTAACCTGCTGCCTTCTCAGGCCACCGGTGCTCTGATAATAAACGCTTATTCTATGGCCCAACTCCTGTGTCGGTCTATTGGCTGAGCGGCGCAGGCCGCACGAGCCCCGGACTTGGTTGACCTCCGGTTTCACAAGTAGCAATGGCAATGGCAGCTGTATGTCCCTCCAGAGGGCGCTGGAAACAGTCCCGCTGAACCCCCAGGTTCCAGAAGGGTCTGGGAGGGCACCCCAAATGTCCTGGAACCCCGGCCAGGTGTGCTAGCCCAGGGGAGCTGGAGGGAATGGGTGTGTGGAGCAGGTGTCTGGAGGTGGCTCCCAGAGGCCCACCC